CTATAGATAGTTTTATTCTGCCTTCACTCATTTTGGCCTTTTTTGTTCCCTCTTTGGACATTTTTGTTGGTCCCATATTGCCTCTCCAAGCCCAGGACATACCTGTCACAATGTTATACCAGGAGGAGCCTCAAGCTCAGAATCAAAAAGACATCAGCTGACTGTCGTGACTTCGATTAGTCACTTGGCACCATTCAGTTTCCTTCCCTGTAGAACGGGTGTGATGACGGGCTACCGCACCTGCAGCTTCACAGTGATGTATGAGTGAAATGAGATCACATGGATTAATGTGTTTGAACCAATAAGGCAATTCATTCATTCATTCCACATCTATTGAGCATCAGCTATGTCTCTGTGCCAGGCTCATAGGAGAATGCAGGAAACAAGGTCCATTCTCTGCCCCAGAACTCGGTCTGGATGCAAACACCAGTGTGTGCGTTCAGGCCAAGGAATCCTTGGGGTTGCCTCTCCCTCCTCTGTTCCACCCTCCTGCCCCACACCATGGAGTAGCCATGTGGGCTGGTAGTGACTCCAGTTTGGGGGTACGGTGAGCAGGGATAGCTTGGGAGGTACCCGACACACCTAACCACTCCTGCCAACCTTGCAATCCCAGCCCCCGGCCAATATTTGGTTCAGGCCTAAAGGCCTAAACCAATCATGGGTGCCATTATGCTGCCCACTTTGGTTGGTTCCCAAGTGGGAACACGACCCAGTTTGGGTCACAGATGTGAGAAAAAAGTTGCCTTGCTCTTTAGACACACAAGATGGAATGGTTTCTTTCCACCTGGAGATAAGGCTCAGGTGCTAACCTAAGGAAGAAGCTATCACATGGAACTGAATCCCATGAGCCAATACAGACCCTTCATTTTTAAGCCCGTTTGAGTTGGATCTTCTGTTACAGGCAGCCAATAGTATCCAGATATAGGAGTGTGCTACATCTGGGACCTCTAGAGCCACTCTCCCAAAGCAGTATCAGAGTTGATTCTGCTACAGGCACCAGCCTTTGGCTTCTCCTGTACGGCCTCTTTCCTTGCTGGATCCTTGATTGAGAGCCTAGTACTGAGTCTGAATGCCTTGCTTTCAGCCTAACCCTACTATGCTGGCCATTAGTTTGGTCTGATCCCCAGATATGCTTGTAGACCCAGAACCTCTGACATCCTGGTTTCTGCTGGTACGTGAATGTGTGGGTACACCTCACAGTTCAGAAACATCTGCTGGCCG